AGTAAAGGATCACAGACTAGTAAAAATTTACTGATTGAGGGGATGGAAGAGGGTGAACAGGGATTATAAGGACTCCCCAATATGTGGTTCATACACACTACTTAATTAAACCTGTGTAAGTTAGCTGAGTTGGGAGGTTACTCAAGTGAGGTCTGTTTTCTTCAGATTTTTACTGTTTAGTAGGTCCCCCGAGTAAGCATGGATATAATTTTGGCATGTCTTCATTGTCAGTGCTACCCTGGAAGCTTGAACTCTGCTAACTCCAAAAATGTCCTGTTTATAATTACTTGCATGGTAAGACAGTAAAATGTCCTTATGTCCTTAGGCTAAACGTTCACGTAAACTGAATTAACTTGGTTTATATAACCAAGAAGCCTGTGCAGTATATTTTCATCTAGGTTTCTTCTTTCTAACAGGTACAGTGAGCTGATAGGACTTTTTTCCCTTTTGGCATTTATGGAAAAAAATGCCATATCAAGTTTTGCATTGTTGTGCTTCTTAGCTCCCCAAAACGCCTGAGTAATTTTCTTAGTGCATAGTGACAGGGCTAACCAAATACACATTTGCTGGTGTGAAACTTGATGCTGTAGTACATAAATGAAAAGACCAATCAGATTCTTAAATTTCTGAATTCTAATTTACTGTTAAGACTACCAACCACTGAATTTAGAAGAAGGTAGAAGTAGACTATACTGTCATAAACTATTTCCAATTGGAAAAAGTGGCATGTTTTTCATTTTGCAGCAGGTGGGGTAAAGTTTTTGCTAAAACTCTTGCACCTGTTTTTGTTGAGTATTCATGAAGTGTAAACATGCTTTTGACCTTGCATTTATTTGTCAGTTGGGTTCAATTTTCAAAGGTGTTAGTACACACCTAATTGAGAAGGCTTTCCTACAAATGATTAAATATTAAGAGCTGAAATGAGAAAAATCTTTTATATTTGTGTAGTAGATACGGGGAAATCTTTCACAATCGTTTGGGTGAGTTGCAAAGGAAAAAGTATGTTGTAATTACAAAATATTCCCATCAACCAGAAAGGATCCTTTGTATTTAGTATAATACTTGATTTCATTAAAAGGGGGGGGGGAAGTCCTCATTACATACTGACAGAGTGGATTGGATCAACTTCTAAAAATCTTTTCTGGTCTATTGGGTAAATAAAGGTTCTCCTTTCTATCTTACCCTTGAATGAATACAGTGTCATTTATTCAGGCATTACATTTGTCCCTGGATAAGTTGTGCCCATGTTTGTCCTGAAACAAAAAAATCCTGGGATTGGTATACACAGCCATCACCCCTTCTAATCACAGTTTACTGAGCAACTGAATGCAATGAAACTTTTCTGCCATAGATTCAGTTGCATAATCTCAAGGTAACTGTACAGACATACTTTGCACTGTTCTGGGATCAACTGCTGCTACCTCTCTTCCAGGAAACGTTTTTAGGGTGCATCCTGGTACAGTGGACATAGCTGTCTTGTCTGATTGCACCTTGTCCCAAGATGAAATGTTTTATCCTAGGATAAATGTGACATCTGTGCACAACACAAAAAATGTGGCTTTCTGGGAAGTTGCTTAATACTGAAGTGAATTGCTATCTGTAAGCTGCTATGGGAAGAATCTGGGCAGATTGCAGCAGGGTATGTTTGGTCACACTAGTTGAGCTGACCAGTTTTACTTTTGCTTCTGGTGTTGGCCCAAGGACCCAGTGTTCTGGGCCCTTGACTGCTGCAGCCAGGCTAGTAGATAATACTCAGAGGCCACCCAGGCTTGGTAGCAGATGCAAGTAAACAAAAGAAGTTAAATAAGTTAGTACTTGTTTTCCAGTGGTTCTTCCAGGCTTCACTTCCTGGTTGCCTCTTATCTTTCAGAGGCCTTTCAGAGCCTGCAGGCTTGTGCAACAAAGCAAATGATCAAGCAAACAAACAAACAAACAGAGGAGAACTCTGCTCTGGGCTCTCCCCATGGCTGATTAACCCCTGGTAACTCCTGGCCAGGTGCAGTCCCTTGAGGCAGCTTTCAGTGTCTTTTATCTTTCCCAGGCTGGGCTCATGTGGCTAACCCTCTCTCACTCCCCACACCTGTGCCAGCTGCCTTGCTGGGGGACTCGCTATATCCCAGGACCTGGTTCCCTAGCCTCCAGTGAGTTCTCCCTGGTCTGGGGTGGGTGTGCAGAGGTGCTTCTGGGGTGTGGGGCTGTTCAGACTTCCCGGAGCCCATAGTAGCAGGGCAGGGCCCTGTTACATTATCTGAAAATGAAAAATATTGTTAAATTGAGAAAAGAGTATCTACATACTAAAGCAAAACGTTCTTACTCATGTTTTTCCAGTTACATAATTAGACCTCAGTTCATGTAGTTGTCAATTTTTCCTAGAAATAATCTGAATGGCTTACAGCAGGGATGCTCAACCCCTAGCCTGCAGGTCAGATCTGGCCCCTGGCTTTGTCATCTAGCCCACAGACCTCCCCATGGATCCACGACTGTCTATTAGATGGGCATGCAGGGCGGGGTGGGACCCAATCCTGGGGCATGGAGGCTGGGCTCGGGCAGCGTGGGGCCCCCAGAGCCTCACTCTGGCCAGGTGAGGCAACAGAGTATTACACTGCCTCTGCCTTGCCCCCATGTCCTGGGATTGGTCTCCAGGGTCCAGTGCCAACCCCACCCAACCAGGATCAGCCTTCAGCAGGGCTGAGGTGGTGCAGGGCACCAGAGGCAAAACAGAGCCTGATCTGGCCTATGGGTCAGGCCTGCGCCATTCATCTGGCCTACAGGGCCCAAACTGAGCACCATTGGTTCAGTGTAGGGGAAGTTTTGGGTATGTAGAGCCTGTGCATTTTACTTATTCAACAAATAGTATAGCATTCTATGATTATTACTACACTTTTTTTCAGTGTTGTCAGTGTGCAAGACCTTCCAGTGCTTTATGCACATTCTTGAATGTGTGATTTCATAGCCAATTTCCTACTGCTTTCTCCATCCCCTCCCTGAAGCACTAAAGATTTTTTTTTTTTTAACTGATTGATGTTTGTTGTTGCTGACTTGCATGTTCAAACAGAATTTAGATTTTTATTAGGTATCTTTCGGAAAAAGTATTAAGACAGTCAGCCATACTCTGTAGAAGTCAATGAAATTTTGCCATTTTTCAATGGAAGCATTAATTGTATTCTGAGGTCAAGAGAAAGTGACTGTTAGATGAAGGATTAAGTATTGGCTTTACCATTGTTGTTTCCAGCAATTAGTAAGTCTGCTTTGTTGCCAGGCACTTTGCAATCCGTGAGCTAAGCATGTAAACAAACTGTTGTTCAAAGGGCAAAGTACCGTTTAGTCTTGAATGCTTTTTAAAAATTAAAGGTGAACTTCCGCTATCAAAGTTTGCATGGGAAGTAGAGTATTTTGCATGTTATAGAGCAGGAATCCAAGGCTGGCAACAGCTACCCAGGGCCTGACCTGGCTGCAGAGGCAGTGCCAGCCTCTTCCCAGTGTTGGGGGAGGTTCAGGGAGGGCTGCTTTGCAGGCACAAGTGGAGCAAGCTGAGTTACTGGTCTGGGTAGTGCTGGAGGGGTGGCTATGGGGGCTAAGGAAAATTTTGGGGTGGCTATAGTCCCCCTAGTGCCACCCCTGCAGGTGGCTCATGGGCAGACGGGGCTGGGCCTCAGTGGGCCACACTGCAGCCTGAGCTGGCTCCCCAGTGAAACACAGGGGCTGTGGCAGGCATCATTGGGTAGTTGGTCTTTGTCCTGCGGCCCAGCAGCAGAGCCGCGTGTCTGCATGCGTTCATGTGTCTGTTTGTTTGTGTGAGTGTGTTTAGTTCTGTGTGGGTGTTTCTGGTTTTGTGTGCATCGGTGTGTGTCTGTTGTGTCTGGTTCTTTGTGTTTCTTTCTGCATGTGCATGTCTGTGCACACATGTTTGGTTCTGGACATGTGTGCATGTCCACGTGTGTTGTTGCTTGTGTGTGTCTGCTTTTCTATTTTCATGCATGTGGTTCTGTGGTTCTGCATGTGTGTCTGGTTCTCTCTCTTTCTCTCATATCATAACATGCTTAACAAAAAAAGAATATGCGACAATAAAGGGTAGTATATGAAGTTTTTTTTATAGTTACCAGGTTTAAAATTTTTAGAAAACCTGGTATTTACTGTTTTAAAAAAGCAAGCAGCATTTATGATTTTTAACTATATTAATATGCAGTGCATCCTGCCATGTACCCCCCACTCCAGTTTTTTTTCCTGACGTTCCAGCACCTTACAAGGTAGACGTTGTGGTTTCTTCGGCACTCTGACCAAAAATGTTGCCTACCACTGTTACAGAGGTTATTCTGTGATGTTGGTATATGGTATTTAGTCTTCAAAAAGGATGCCACTTCATGATCTGCTTTAACTGGACCCAGTAGTGTGCACATACAAAGATCATTTTAAAGGAATTGCTAATAATGCCACTTTCTTCATATTTTGGTTCCAAATTCCAAGTTGTTCTTTGGACTTGCCTTGAAGCAAAGTAATCATGTTGTTTCCTAGCTCAAAGGGTATGCAGTCACAATTATAATTTACAGGTGTACAGTAAAAGTTCTGTTATCTGGCATCTTATAAACTGCCATGCTCTACTAACCAGCATGCAGGCTTGTAAAATAAAGTGAAACTGGAAGAGCCCACCGTGGCACTTCTGGTTTCTCCGAGCCCCCATTGCTCGGGGCACAGCAGCCTGTGCTGCCGAGCCCCCACGACCCCGGGGACATAACAAGCTGTGCGGAACCAGTCTCCCTGTTCCACAGGACCCTGCAGTAGGGGTGGCGATGCTGCAGGAGGGGCGGAGGGATGCCCTAGATGTGGCATGAGAAGCAGTGGCCAGGGCCGCTCAATTACCCAGCTTATTTTGTTATCCAGCATCCCTTGTTCCTGGGGGATGCCGGATAACAGCTTTTACTGTATATTAGTTTTGGCTTGTAACAGCGTTAATGCAATATTTTATTTATTTATTTGTTTGTTTGTTTATTTAACTTTTACAGCTTTCCCATGGTTTGGTATGGACATTGGGGGAACCCTGGTGAAACTTGCATACTTTGAACCAATTGATATCACTGCAGAAGAGGAGCAGGAGGAAGTTGAAAGCTTGAAGAGTATCCGCAAATATTTGACTTCCAATGTAGCCTATGGATCCACTGGCATCCGAGATGTCCACCTTGAATTGAAAGACTTGACACTTTTTGGCCGAAAGGGAAACTTGCACTTTATTCGATTCCCAACTCATGACTTGCCTACTTTTATTCAAATGGGAAGAAATAAAAACTTTTCAACGCTACACACAGTGCTTTGTGCCACAGGAGGTGGTGCTTATAAGTTTGAAGAAGACTTTCGCACAGTAGGTAGTTTAACTTTGCTAGTATTGTAGACAATATAAAAGCTTGGATGGTGGCTGGTTAATCAGTATATACAACAGGTAGTAGGAATCATTTCAGTTCTTGTGCGTTAAATAAGTGAGTAAGTAAATAGATGTTAAATCAGTAACTTCATAGAAATGTGAATCCTGGCGTGTACAATTGTTAGTCTCAATTATTTATATTATATAAATAAGGAAGATGGTCTTGATTACTGTTAGATTTGATCTTGAAAGCTAATTGGAAAATTCCATTCATGTAATGAACTAGGTTGCAGTACCTAGGTATAAAGAGAGATCTCACTTATTGTAAAATAATCTTTTTCTCTTCTTGTTTTATGTTTTGGGAGGCACTTGAGTTTAAACCTCTATGCCATTATGCTCATTCTGGACCTTCTGTCCCATGCAGTCATTGATAGCTCTTCCTAGTCTTTTTGTGAAGTGAATTTAATCTGCTGTTCCACTTTTGTAGAGTGAATCAAGTCTAAGGAAACTAGTCCAATACATTGTTATTGCTCTGTAACGCAATAAATAGTTTCTACAGGGGATTCTTTTTCACCAGGAATTTTAAAATGCTTCTTAACACCTTCTGGCAAAAATGGCTATTTTCATATTTCAACTATTGTGTAGGTTGTTAAACGGGCGGGCTTCTGAAACAGTATCTGAAATGAAGAACTCCCTTTTTGCATTTCACCTGTTGTTTTAAAATGTCTTCAGATTTCCCCCGTAAGATTCTAAAATAAAAAAGCACACCATTTTAATAGACTAGAACCAGCATTGGCAACAAAGGTCTGTCAGCTTTTTGGTGGAGGGAGGAGAATCCTTATTCTGCTTGCTGACAAAGTTATACAGGCCAAATACTATAATACCAAGCCAGGGTCTAGTCCAGGGGTGGACAATTATTTTCGGCAGAGGGCTGCTTACTGAGTTTTGGTAAGCCATCGAGGGCCACATGACAAGCAGCCCAGGGCAGATATATATTAATTTTCTAAATTTTTTAGGGGCCCAGCAGGCTAGATAGAATGACTTGGCGGGCTCCGTTTTGTCCACCCCGGTCTAGTCTGTACTGTTTACCAGCAGATTTTCCAGCTGTTCTAACTCTGAGCGTGTACATGCTTAAAGCATCTTTGCTGGTGGCAGAGTAAAGTTTCCTCCACCAAATTGAGTAATGTTTCTGTCGCCATCTGGTAGGTAGCAGCAGTTGGGTGTAGACACTGCTGCTTGCCATCATACTGTCAGCAGCTGAGGCCTCCCTACAGTGCAGTTCACATTCTGACAACACAGCAGAGCTGCCAGAAGAGCATGGATGTATGTGGCCTCTGCTCATTAAGATGGCTGTTGTGTGAACTTCTGGCACCAAGGCCTGCGTCTTAGATTTCTTGAGATCCTAGAAGTGGTGGCTTCATAGTTTCATAGTAGTTAGGGGTCAGAAGGGACCTGAATAGATCATCTAGTCTAACCCCCCACCACTGGTTGGAGCACATGCTGAGATCACATAACCCCAGACAGATGTTCATCCAACCTCTTTTTGAATTTACCCAAGGTAGAAGCGAGGACCACTTCCCTAGCAAGTTGGTTCCAGATCCTAGTTACCCTGACAGTTAAATAGTGCCTCCTAATCTCCAACCTGAACCTATTCTCTAGCAGCTTCTGGCCATTGTTCCTCGTCACCCCAGGTGCTGCTGGGGAGAATAGGGCTCTTTCTATTTGCTGTTGATCTCCCCTAACGAGTTCGTAGGCAGCCCACAAATCCCCACTCAGCCTCCGCTTGCTGAGGCTAAACAGGTTCAGGTCCGTCAGCCTGTCCTCATAGGGCCTGCCCTTTTGCCCTCCAGCCAAGCAGGTGGCACTCCTCTGAACCCTCTCAAGGCAGGTCACATCCTTCTTAAAGTGCAGTGCCCAGAACTGGGTGCAGTACTCCAGTTGAGGCTGGACCAATGTCACGTAGAGGGGGAGCATCACCTCTCTGGACTGGCTTGAGATACATCTTTGGATGCACGACAAGGTGTGGTTGGCTTTGCTGGCTGCGGTCTGGCATTGGCGGCTCATGTTCATCTTGGAGTCAGTAATGACTCCAAGATCCCTTTCTGCCCCTGTGTTCACAAGGGGGGAGCTCCCCAGCTTGTATGTATGCTGTGGATTCCTTCTCCACAGGTGCAGCACCCTGCATTTATCTACATTGAAGCCCATCCTATTACCATCCACCCACCTCTGTAGTCTAAGTCTAATTGCAGCCTCTCTCTCCCTTCAAGCATGCCTACCTCTCCCCACATCTTCTTGTCATCGGCAAACTCGGACAACGTGTTTTCCACCCCCTCGTCCAAGTTACTGATGAAGATGTTGAACAGTGTAGGCCCCAGGACCGAGCCTTGGGGGACCCCACTATTCACATCCCGCCGGGTCGAGTATGACCTGTCCACCATCACTCTCTGAGTGCCCCCCATCAGCCAAATTTTTCACATCCAACTGTGTAGGCATCACAATGCCACAGTTGCTCAGTTTATTAATGAGAATGGGGTGACAGAGAGTGTCAAAGGCCTTCTTAAAGTCCAGAAAGATTACATCCACAGCGACACCATCATCCAGGGATTTAGTTACCTGGTCATAAAAGGCCATCAGGTTGGTCTGGCAGGACCTGGCTTTGATGAACCCATGTTGATTACCTCTGGGCATGATCTCCTCTGCTGGCCCCTCACAGATGTGCTCCGTAATGATTTTTTTCAAGGATTTTCCCCAAGACCGATGTGAGGCGTATGGGCCTATAGTTTCCCAGGTCCTCCTTCCTCCCTTTCTTATAGATGGGAACCACATTAGCTAGTTTCCAGTCTCCGGGCACTTGGCCCGTGGACCACGATCACTCATACAGCCGGGCCAGGTTTAATTAGTTGTCTAACCAAAGCTCTTAAACATTTGAGACATTTATATTTTGTCACTTTACAAATGAATGTTTGTGTTCAAGATGGTTCCAGAGGTAATACAAAAAACTAAGTAGGTTTGCAAATATGTTAAATTGACTGAGAATATTTGAGGGTGATTTTTGGGGTGTTTGCTAAAAATCTGGTCTGCAATGACCCAGAAAAAAAGTTTTTTACAGTGGCTTAAAGCTAGCCTCTCTCACTCAGTGGTAGCAAAATAGCTTACTAAGTTCTAGTCTAGTGAAAGGTTATTTTACTGTCATATAGTAGCAAGAAGAAGGCATGTATAGACAGTTGCACCCTTTTTGTTGGTTGCCATTTTCCCATTGTCAGCTGGGATAATGCCCAGAATACACTTCATACCGGCAAAGCTACTGAGCAGCGGTGTATGGAACCACCAGAATGAAATAGATTTGCATTTGTTCTTGTGTTTGGCAGCAGTAGTTGCTAACTGTGGCACGAACTGACAGCAAAGGCATCTGCATATAGGTAAGACCAACATACCTATTGTATGAATTACTAGCATTGCCCTTTTCTTTTTCACAGATTGGAAACCTGCAGCTGCACAAACTGGATGAGCTTGACTGCCTTGTCAAAGGATTGTTGTATATAGATTCAGTCAGTTTTAATGGCCAGGCAGAGTGCTATTACTTTGAAAATGCCTCAGAACCTGAGAGATGCCAAAAGATGCCTTTTAACCTGGATGACCCATACCCACTGCTGGTTGTAAACATTGGTTCAGGAGTCAGTATTTTAGCAGTCCATTCCAAAGACAACTACAAGAGAGTAACTGGAACAAGGTAGTGATTTTAAACAGCAAGTTATAATTTGTACACAGAATAATGAATCTAATATTAAGTTTTCAAACAATTGCTTCCTGCAATTTTTTTGGATTAATTACCAACATAATTAATTGTTGTCTATCCTCAGCGATCTACCTGTCCTCATAGCTAAGACGTGTAGTCAGTGTTTGCAGTGCTAATTAATCTGCAGCAGAACTTAGTCCACAATGCCTGATATTGTCATGTTATTTGGTTTTGATTATATACCATATTTCCAGTGAATCCAGACTTCTGCTCTATTAAAATGATGATCGCTGAAGGAAAAAAAAGCCTGAGACCAAGGACTGAATGTAGATATTTCAGGTCATCTCTGCAGACCCAACTGATATTCGTGTTTATTTTTGTTTCCTGCTACAAGTAGGACATTTAAGGATCCCAGTATGAAAATTAAGTAACTTTACTTATTGGAAAATATTTCCCTGGAACTACAGTTCCAAATCATTCTATATTTTTGTTAAGTTAGCTTGACAAATGAAGTTCACATAAACACTTTCATCTTGATTCACAGTTAACTCTTTAGCAAGCAAGTTGCACTGCGTACTAATCTATGACCTAATGCAGAGATTGTTAATTAATTAAAGGAATTACCATGTAAAAGTAATTATTTCTTTTTTTAATTAGTCTAGGTGGAGGGACCTTTTTAGGTTTATGCAGTTTATTAACTGGCTGTGAAAGTTTTGAAGAAGCTCTTGAAATGGCATCCAAAGGGGATAGTACACATGCTGACAAGCTGGTCCGTGATATTTATGGAGGAGACTATGAACGATTTGGCTTGCCAGGATGGGCAGTAGCATCTAGGTAAGCAAAAGACTTGCTTGTAGCCTTATAACAAACTGCTGTTGAGAATTCCTTCAATACAGAAATGGAAGGATTTTGAAAAGAGATGTTAGTTCAGTATCACTTATCAGGAATAATTGCTTTTTGTGTACTTATTTTTACAGCTAATTAAATTGTGTTTGTATTTAAATATACTCTTAAGTTTTATGAAATTTTAAAACCATGTGAACACATCTAATTGCTGGCAAGAGAGGAATACTACAGTAGTTGCCTTTTGTAGAATACTGTGACCCCAACAGCTGAAGCGCAGCATCATATGCAAATATATATTTTTAATGCCCTAGATGATGCATCAGAAGAGAGAAAAGCATGTAGAAAGTGCAAGGAAAAAAGAAAAAATTGTTAAAACTCCTCAATGAATTTAACATTTTTGGCCAAGATCTTTGAGAATGTAGTAGCCAGTATTTAATTTGCCACCATGTTTTCCTCTGTTTTGCAATCTCTTCCTTTCTAGATTGATTTCACTTGTTTTTGTACATGTAGATCAGCCAGTTGAACTGTTGCGAAATTCTTTAGCCACTGTTTTTATTTATATATTGCATATAAACACAAACCATAGGAATGATTTATTTTTAATTTTGATTTTTGAGGCTTTTTTGATTGTGAAATATCTCTGGGTGTTTTCTGACACTTTTTTGCAGCAGATACTCTGGGAAATTTTAAACAAATTGATTTACAGTGTGGGCTTAATGGGAATAAATTCAAGTTGCTGTTACTCAGAAGTGGACTTTTTTCATTGTAGTTTAATCCCTCTGCAGTCAATTAAGGCAAATACATATATTTTGAGCAATAATGTCCACACAGTAGTTTAATACGTGCTGATTTCAACATCTATCATCCCGACCCCTATTACAATACTTTGTTTTGCCCTTTCATAAGCTTTAGGTTTGGAATAGTGAGAGAAGTTAGAATTTCAGCTGTTATTACTAAAGCTTAGTCTATGTTACAAGGCTTAGTCTGTGCTGTCTGCCCTGAGAGGTTTGCTGGCATAGCCACACGTGTGATCTTTTCACACTTCTAGTCAGCTTAACTAAGTCAGCAGAACTTCATGATGTAGACAAAGCCAGAGTCGCTAGTGGTGAAGTAATATGCACAATTAAGGAATCACTCACTTAGTGTTGTTCAACTTGGAAAGTTCTGAGCTTCTATAAATTAATTGCCACAATTTGTCAGCTCTGGGAGTTACTTTTCATTTCAACATATGAACTTACCACTCAGTTCTGTGCTTTAGTGTTTCTCTGTATTAAACATTCAGAATAACTAACTGATTATTCAGTTCCTCTGCAGCTTCTGTCAAACCCAATTGTTAGCTCATCACAATGTTTTGTAAGTGTAAAGCTGTTTTAAGCCAGTTTCAGTTCGGTGGGTAATTATGCCACCAGGAAATTTGACAGTTGGGCAGTCCTCCAACAGCAGCCAGTTAATACTTCACTCTGCAAACTGTATAGCTTGCTTATTAGTTGGTTTGTGCTTCATTAGCTTCTAGGTATTTGGAAGATGGAACTTGGGAGAAACTAGAGGGGAAAGGCTAGTGAACTTGAAGCAGACAGTTTTTAATATGGACAAATAATGAACTTATCAGTCTTTCCACTGACTATTAACTGTTTCTATGGCTGCTTGAATTTATTTTTCTCTTAAACAGGCACTCCCTCCCCAGGGAAATTTTTTCTCTTTTACATAAGTTGGCATCTCCTGTATGCTCTCTCTCTGCTTTTTCTCTTCTGGGATTTTGTGACGCTTCCAAAAATGAATACCAATTTCAGTTTTGGAGTGTTTTATAGTGGGTAAACGTTCTGTTATTTATATGCCCCTCAGTTTTGCTTCAGCTGTCTGGAGAACAACGGAAGGATTATATGTGAAGTGAGGAATAAAGGCTGACTTTTCAGAAGCTGCAGAATTGGCTGTCGAGACTCAGAATTAGTTCCCTGTGCTTTGTCTAGCATGGAATAGTAGCACCCAGGAAAAGGAAACATTGGTTGGAGATGTTTCCTCCAGCATCTCTAAACCAATAATGGTTGGTGCCAGGGAGGGTATTGAATAGGGGAGATCATTCTAGGTACATCCAGCTCAGTGCTCTCCCTCCATAGCATCTACTCCTGCTGTTAGAGATGGGATACTGGGCTGGATACTTGGTCTGACCCAGTACCGCATTTCCTATATTCTTACGTTCTAAAATAATGTGACAAGCTATATCTTCATTAAATTTCATAGCCTAAAAAGGAGGGGCTCATTTTCTTAGCTGGTCTGGAAATTTCCAGAGAAGAAAGAGAAGCAACAATGCATCATAACCTCACTTGTTAAAGTATTACCTTTTTAATGAAGATTTGAAAAAAAAAAAATATTTAAAATTTGGAATAAATAGGAGATGTAAAGGCAGATAAATTAATTACCCCCAAGCGAAAAAGGGACTAGGTTTTAATGCATGGTATCTGCTCCACAGTGATTGTCCATGTGCATGCTCTCAGCCCATGGCAGGTGAAAGGTAAAGCCAGCATGGTTTAGCATTCATGTACCACAGGGTAAAAGCATGCCCTCAGGCAGCTACCATAGAGCAGCTGACTCGTAGAAAGTAATTTGTATACCCATCCCCCTAAATCTGCTCTTGGCATGGAAACTATACTCAAAACCTGTTGTAAATGCAAAATGTATCACTCTCTACTTTTCTCCCCGCCCCCTCTTCTTTCCAGTTTTGGGAATATGATCTACAAAGAGAAGAGAGAATCTGTTAGTAAAGAAGACCTGGCTAGAGCCACATTGGTTACCATCACCAATAATATTGGGTCTGTAGCACGGATGTGTGCTGTTAACGAGGTAAACTCAAAGGAGGGTGGGAGAAGTGTCAGAAAAACTTTATATTCTTACTGTGGGGTCTCCAGTTACTTGAACTGCTAATATTTAACAGTTGTCCTTTCAAACCTGTTACCACGTTTTCAGATGAAGCAAACAGACTTCCATTGGCTCTGCAGCAGTTCAGAATGCCTTTTAAGATTCATCTGGCTTGAGAATTCATTCTCTAGTAGTAGTAGTAGTAGTAGCAATTGGGAAGTCAGCATGGATTCAGCAAGGGCAAGTAATGCCTAACTAACCTGATTGCCTTCTATGATGAGAATTGGTTCTGTGGAGGCGAGGAAAGCAGTGGATGTGATGTACCTTGACTTTTTAGCAAAGCTTTTGATACAGTCTCCCACAGCATTCTTGCAAGCAAGCTAAGGAAGTATGGATTGGATGAATGGACTGCAAGGTGGATAGGAAGCTGACTGGATCGTTGAGCTCAGCGGGTAGTGAACAACAGTTAAATGTCTAGTTGGCAGCTGGTATCAAGTAGACTGCCCCAGGGGTCAGTCCTGGGGCCGGTTTTGCTCAGGATCTTCATTAATGATTTGGAAGATAGGATGGAGTGCACCCTCAGCAGGTTTGCAGTTGACACCACGCATGGGGGAGTAGTAAATATGCTGGAGGTTAGGGCTAGGATTCAGTGTGACCTAGACAAATTTGGAGGATTGGTCCAAAAGAAATTACATGAGTTCAAGGACAAGTGCAAAATCGTGCACTTAAGACAGAAGAATCCTGTGTACTGCTACAGGCTTGGGACCAACTGACTAAACAGCAGCTCTGCAGAAAAGAACCTGTGGGTTACAGTGGACAATAAGCTGGATACAAGTCGGTGGTGTGCCCATGTTACTAAGAAGGCTAGCAGCATACTGGGCTGCATTAATAAGAGCATTGTCAGCAGATGGAGAGAAGTGATTCTTCCCCTCTATTTGGCACTGGTGAAGCTACATCTGGAGTAGTGTGTCCAGTTTTGGGGGGCCCCTGCTGCAGAAAGGATGTAAACAGATTAGCAGGAGTTCAGCATAGGGCAATGAAAATGGTTAGGGGGCTGGAGTACATGATTTCTGAGGAGAGACCGAGGGAACTGGACTTATGTAGTCTAGAGAAGAGAAGACTGAGAGGGGATTTGATAGCAGCCTTTAACTACCTGAAGGGCGGTTCTAAAGAGGATGGAGCTAAACTGTTCTCAGCGGTGGCAGATGACAGAACAAGGAGCAATGGTCTCTAGTTGCAGCAAGGGAATTTTAGGTTGGATATTAAGAAAAACTTTCTCTCTAGGAGAGTGGTGAAGCCCTCAAATGGGTTACCCAGCGAGGTGGTGGAATCTCCATCCTTGGCAGTTTTTAAGGCCTGGCTCAACAAAGCCCTGGCTGCAGTGATCTAGTTGGGGATGGTCCTGCTTTGAAAAGGGTTTGACCAGATGACCTGCTGAGGTTCCCTTTCAATCCTGATTTTGTATAATATATGAATAATAAATGAAAGTCTTCTCCCAATTAAAAATGTGGTGAAAAAAGCATTGGGTTTTGCCAAATTTGAGCTGTTTTATAAAAATTGTTTTTAACTGTTGCAAAATTTCACTTTTGAAACTTCAGTGGCCGTGAATCTGAAGAAGGATTGCTCCATTGCATCTTCTCAGAGATTTGTCTAATAGTCCCAGAATAAATTTGAGGATTATTTTCACTACTCTTTGCATAGAACTGTGAATAGCAATGAGAGCCAGGAAATAAGAAATATAGACGCCCTCGAACTGCACAGTGAAGGCTGGAATAGGAAAGAAGACTGTGGAAGAGGAGAAGGCTTTTTCTACTTCGGTAGTCAGCAAGATGGAGTGTAGCTTCCAACGAAGACACTATTAGCCAGCAGTCACTTTAAAATAAGAAATAGGAGTGTGTCTTCATCTCCATTGCTGATCCCTCCCTCTCTTTAGTATCTAACTTTTTCCAGTAAAGGGCTTTTGGGGTGGGGGTTGGGTCTTTGCTGTCTTACAAAAAAAAAAGCCTACATTGAAATGGGAAGGGTAAGAGTACACAGTAACTTAAAAATATAATATAATGAGCAAAGGAAATCAAATTGTTATACCTTAAGTATGTGAATAAATAAACCCCAGTAATCCAATAAACCCCTAGACTGACCTTAATTCATTCCAGTAATGATGCTATGTAATAACTGTAAGATTCTTATTAAATATAATCTGGTCCCAGATTAAACTCTTCTTAAAGAGCTTCATTTTCCCCACACCACCACTGAACAGAGTTAATAAATATTTCTGTACCTTAAAATACTAACTTCTCACAATGAAAAGGGGATTAGGCAGATAAGTGTTATTCCTGTGAGCACAGGTAACAGATGGACATGCCACAAGTTTTATCCTAATTTGAATGAATATTCATGTGTCACTAGTAAGTGCTCTAGTAAAATATTCTCCTATTTTATATGTTTAATTCTCAGTCTCATTCAGTCACTGGAGCTTAATCTCATCAGTTTTATTTTCAGTTTAAATGTCTCCACAATTGGAGAATACAGTGAAAAAACTGAAAATTTAAATTTGACTACATTTATCACTTGCCTAGTATGCGTTTTAGTTTCATTCTAACGGTCTTGTTCTGTATGTATTCAGAGCCAAGGAACATCTGTAACATCTGTAATATCTCATTGTCTTTGGCTTCTTTACAGTGCTGCCTTGTTGCATATGGATCAAGCAGCATTGTACAGGGCTATGAAGACAATGAGTCTTGCTCTACCACAAATAAGATATTTGGTTTAGTTGTACTTTTTGTTTGGATTGTTTCACTTTTTTTAATAATTCCTATTTTGTAAAACTGTGCAACTTTGGATTTTAAATATCTCTACTGCTGATCTCTTCTAGTTCTGGAATGTTTTAAAGATTGAACCAAAACTGTATACTGGCAGATGTGACAACCTATTTTTATGTCAAAGATTTGTAAAGCTGCTCTAGATACTGAGGAATCGTATAACGCTCAATTTTTGTTCTTTCTGTTTTAGAAAATAAACAGAGTTGTCTTTGTTGGCAATTTTTTACGTGTGAATACTTTGTCAATGAAGCTTCTTGCATATGCACTGGATTACTGGTCAAAAGGCCAGCTAAAAGCTCTGTTCCTAGAACATGAGGTATGTTATAAACACTTACAAATAAAGAAATTCTTACTTGTAATCTCCAACTCACCTCTTAAAAGTAATATCCAGACACCCATCAGATACTCAGAATGCTCACAGTAGTGTTAATTTTCAATAGGTAGTTTTGATTAGGGGGTCATGAAGAATCAGTAGGCAAATTTCAATGGCTAAGTTTGTCCTATTTGGATGAGGCAGTCTTCTGGTCAGTTAAACACCTAGGCATTTCACTACCAAATCTACAGGCAGTGAAGGGATTTGAACAGGTTATGCATCATTGAAGTTTGATGGCAAATAGCCTCAAGAACTGAATATGTCAGAAAAATAAAACCCTTTGTAGTGTATGCATTGAACATGCATTCTCTGTTTTACCTGAATTCATTTTTATGCAGTGTTAACGTATGTTCATTTCTTGAGAACTCTGGGATACATGAAGCTACTAGATGTCATTTACATAACATTGACACTTAAACAATATTTCCATCTTGCAGCTCCATCTTGATATGTAAAGTTCATGGTAGGTGTTAGTGTTCTAAGTCTTGCAGAAGCAGTTGCCTGTATCCATTCTCTGGGTCATTTCAAAGTAGAACTTGAAAGGAAAGACCTTAGTCATTTTAGGAAAATTCCATTTTCCCCACAGTTTCTTGGAGACAATGCAGAAATATTTTAATGCCATCAACTTCTGCTGAAGAGGTTTCTTTCCTTCCCTTTCTGAGTAGATGATTATTCAACAGGGCAATAAGTATGGGGTGCATCTTTCTGCAGCCTAACAGTTTGAGGGATGTAAAGAAGTGGCCACTGACCAGACATTTATACTATTCTTTGTTAGCATATTTTCACATCCTGAAAGGTTACAGGTCAGAATCCTAGTTGGCCTGGACTGCTTTTAATCTTGATACAACTGCTGCTTACAATGAACATTTCAAATTTGAGGAGAACCGTTTGTTTACTTTTATTGGTGGTCTAACACCTGCCTACAGATACATTCTGCAAAATTAGCTGATTCTTCATACTGAGAGAATATGTCCTGGTTTGACTGCAGGTAATCCATGTTAAAGTGTCTTATGGTCCAGCAGGGTGTCAACTTGTTGCCTCTTGGAAGATGATCAGTAAACTCTAATAGATCTGCTATAAGCCTACAGAATGCCAGTGGTATATGACATTCAGTATCAGATCTTTTTATTTGATCAGTTCTCCATTTTTTTCCTTTTCTTTTAGTTCCAGTTTGAATATGGAACCAAGATGACTGTTAGAGCAGGCATCACAGTGATAGTATCTGAAGTTGTTAGACTTTAGCTGTACTTCCTTGCTAATTGTCTGTGGGTTCTGCTTGGTTTGGCTTTAGATTCTGATATTTGGCAAGGTCTGAAAGTCTCTGGAGATCATAATAGGGCTCTTTTAGCATTTATTCCAATTAAGTGCAAGAAGTGGTTTTATAACAAAGGCATGGCTCTTGCATTTGTCTGCAACGTAAAGATTCAGTCCAGAGTGTAGCTTGCTATGTTTGGGCCTTTCCAAAAACAGTTTTATTCTATGGTCCTTGTCTTTTCCTTCAGTGAGTTCTAGAGTGTAGGCCACTGCTGAGCAGGGCCAGAACTTACACTAACAAGGCACTTACTACTAGTAGATGTTACCTGTAGGAGACTAGGGTGGAATTAGGAGGAGAAGTTTAGAGTAGTACATTGGTGTGAATGTTAAAGGTCACAGGGCAGTTGTCATTTCTCAGTTCTTCTGAAAAGCATTTGCTGTGTGTGGTCAAGTATCATTGATATGTGCTTGGAAATCCTTAAGATACATTAGTAAATGAAAGAGTCTAATGAGATTCGTAAATTTTAGGGAACAGTCAAGTAGGGCAAGCATTCTTTTAAGAGCAAAGGGTTTGTGTTTGTAGAGCTTTGGAAACCTCGCATGAAGGACAGTGTAGCACAAGTAAACGTTGTTCTTTCCAAGTCCTCACTTTGGGTTAAGAAATGTATTGCTGAATGCTGAATTTTAAATGTTATGGTTCAAACTTAGAATGACAGCTCTTTTCTTTAAATAAACAGGGGTATTTTGGAGCTGTTGGTGCTCTTCTCGGGTTGCCGAATTTCAGCTGAAGAACCAGATGTCTTTACGCTGAGCTGCTTTCCACTTGGATGACATTACTGCATCGTTTAAATCAATGGGAACCAAAGGAAAAAAGCAGTGGTTTTACTGTAAATGTTTTTAAATTTAAACGTGGTAAGCTGCTGGATATTGCCATTTTAAAGAAGTGGAATCTTACCATGTTGGGCATTTATAAGTAAAATATTAGAGGGGTTTGTTTGTTTGTTTGTTTGATGTACTCCAGTACACATAACCAGTATTGAACTTTTAATATGCAATACATCCTCTGAAAAACAAGCTTCCAAAAGAGAGAATTCCAGCTCCTTATGCGTCTGGCACTTAAAATATTTTGGGCTTTAATGCTAAGCAAATCTGTTTTGTATGTAATCTGGTGTAGGTGGTTTATTTTAATCTATTTGTTTTAGTCCTTGTTTGCCTTGTTCTAACAGCAGAATTTCCTTTGTACGTTTCAAAACATTGACTTAAAAAAAAAAACAGGGTGCCATCAACAAAAGGAAAAAGGAAAGTTGTATGCATTTTAAAAATGGCTTCTTACATTAAGGACAGTAAAGTGTTATGACATTAAACACATTTCACTGATCATGGTATTTGATATAAAACAGGGAGGAAATAAAAAATCTCTGCCTTGTAAGCAAAAAGCAGAGAAGGGCAGTAGCAGCTACTACTGCAACTCCATTTTATCTGTGTTTCTGAGATATGGTTGCTCAAATAGGCAGCACATGGGGAATCTTGGCAAGACCATCTCTCTGAATTAGGTTTGAGTCAAAGAACAGCAAGGCTTTAGAATGGACCTGTCTAGATTAAGCAGACTTTTGATTTCTACCATTTTCACTATCAAATCCACCATAAAACCTGGCACAGTTTATAGAATCTACCCAAAAGAGACCAAGGACTAAAATAGCAGTAGTGTTAAAGTTTGTAAATCTGAAGTGTCGATCATCTTTCTGAGTAATCATGCATAGCTTCAATTCCTTTTTTACTGGTTTGAAGGATGGTTAGTTCTTTATTTTTTGTGAGATGTAATCTCAACTTTGAGTTTATTAAAAATTAACAATATTTTTATACATGTATTTGGAATTGGAGGTTTGTTTACAATGGTTTCAGAGTTTGTATTGCAATGTCAAAAGGACCAGTATTCAGTACACTTGGCAATAATTGGAACTGCGTATTGAACTGTGGCCTTGGGATGAATTCCATATTTTGTAACTAGTCCTTTTTTGCCTGAATATTTCGTTCTCACAGTGGTTAAAAAATTTACAGTAGTGTATTTACTGTGATGTCTAGTGCTGCCGTGAGATGAGCTACTAGATTAGAAAGACCATTTCAGAGATCGTCAGCTATGTGCTAGCATATTTAGTGTCTCTAATAAGAAATGTCCAGCTTTATAGTACATTAATGAGAGAGGTTTTCTCTTTTGAATCTAAAGGAAACATCAGAATAAAATTTACTGATAAATTAGATTTTCATGTTTATAAATGAGTGTTAATCTAAAAAAATAAAATAAAATGAAAAAGATTAATAAACAATTCCAGAACATTGCTATATTCCATTATAGCAGCATCTGAATTTTTAACCATTTTCCCTAACCCACAATGTACACAGAAAGGATTGAATGTACTAGGTAAAACTTGTCTTTCTATTCTTTAAGTTGAACTCCTTTTAAACTGGAGATTTTAGAAATTCCTAAAGTCCCAAAGTGCAATGATTTGTACCAATAGCCACTTTATTCAACTTGGAACAGTGCCAACTTCAGACATAGTTTGATTGTTGTTGCTGCTGGGTACTGAAGGCAGATATCCATTTTGAATATATTGAAATATTGCTTCAGTTGGAGAATGAGGTTTTCCATTTTCTAAGTGATCCTATTTTTGAAGGCTATCTTCAGTCTGTGAAGCAGATGAGCACATCTTGAGTAACGTGTTCTCTAAAAGCTGCTACAAGTTTCAAGCTATGACATAGTACAAGAAGTATGATGGTTTGTAACGATAGTTCATTAAAATACATTTATTCTATAAGTTTTCCACAAAGGAAAATGTTTTTGTAGATTTATTGTAGTAACCTCATATAGAGTTTCACATCCTATATTCATGGCATTCTTAGATGTTGGAGCACCTCTGTCTCATGCTTCTTGCAGTTTCTTGCAAGAAACAGTTCAGCTAGTCCAGATAAATGCTGAGATTAATTTATTCTCTATATATCCTGTAGTACTGGAACACAACCTAAGAATTGTTTTTGAAATAGTAATTAAAAGTAATTTATATATACTGACCAGCAGATATGAAAGTAAGATTTAGTTGCAACTTTCCTTTTCCAGTCTAGTCTTTTTAGGAAGTCTATCTAACAGAGAAATTACCCTGGTCAATTCAGGACACAATTAATCAGTTCTGGAATAACAGACAGAACATGTTGACAATTTAGGAATAAACTTCTTCTCTTGAACTTGAAAAAGATGGCTTCCGTTCTATAGTTCCATCAGTATGATTATGTTGACCTCTCCAAAAAATACCAGAAAAGTTTTCTGCCCCTAATCTACAATATGGGTAATTCACATCAATAAGGATTATTTTCAGGAAAGTTTTTGCGATGTGTTTGGTTCTTTCAAAACAGAAAATTTGATGCCCCTTTTGTCATCCAAGTTGGTAGACATTACAGATATCTATACTGAGATCGAGATTTATAGATATATACACATACAAGTGCGGAGGCTGCTCCATTGCACTGGAATTCTGGTGTGTTGGAGCAGTCTCGATTAATTGAGTCTGCTGGAGCATGGTAATTATTGCGCTCCAGCTGCTTCCTGAGTCTCATGCATCAGCGTCCCTGCACTTAAAATTGGCAGCAGGGACACTTAAACTAAAGTTCATTCAAGGAGCTTTAGTTCAAATGCCGCCGCCACCTTTTTTAAGCACAAGGATGCTAATACACGAGACGCAGAGGTGCCTTAATTAGAGGGGCTCTTGAAGTCACTCTAATTAAAGCTCCACCACTGCCACCACGACCCCTGGAGCATGTATAAAAGTGCCCTATGAGATTAGCGTTAGATCTTTTCATCTGGATTCCTATGTACAGTGCAAAAGTCTGTACTCGCTGTACAGCAAAGTGATTTGATTCTTCATATTTGCTGTTCTTACTTCACATTTAATATTTCTTCCTCGGAGCTAGTCAATGTCCTTTTGCTGTAAACTAAATCAAGTAGCAGCTGAATCTAGCAGAGGAAGCGCAGCAAATGCTTTTTCAAATGTACAGGTTTTCTGAACTGCTCTCTCTTCAAGTGGGACCATTTCCTTCACCTTTAAAGGAAGAAGCAAGCTCATTCTGAATGTAGTAACACCCAGATAAAGCAACCACATGAGTGCCTTTCATTTCTCATATGGTGCCAACAATGCTGGATTTGCTAGCTCTGGAACTTAATGCAGGAGCATTCCTGGCAATAGTTCTACTGTTTTCATTCTGTAACACTTACTAAAGATGTCAACAATAATACTTTTATCAGCATTGTAAATGATCTCTCAGACCTGACACAGAACAGTCAGGAAGATGATACAAGTTTGTTGGTCTCCTGGCAAACTATTCTACTTTTGTTGAAATAATTACTTAAACTAGTCTCTTTTCATTCATCCCTCTCATTTGGCCCTGCCCCAGGTGTCACTTCTGACTTTAAGAGGTCATTGTCTCTCTGCAGTGGTGTTAACTTTTTAGCCACCTAAGTTTAGCTATTTCTATATCAGACACTTCATTTTTATATGAAAATACCGTTATGGTCTGGCTGGTATGGCTAGAAAATCTTTAACTACTTCAAAAACCTTTCCAAATCTGCTTAAGGGAGCTAACCACTTTAAATGAGAAGCAATATTGCTCTGGTGCATTTTGGACTGTTAACACATTGGGGGAAATATAGCATTTCTGTAAGTATTTTTATGCTGAGTCCTTTTTAATGAATCCAGTAGATTGTTGCCACTTGCACAAACAACTTCCTAGAAGGGCTCATTAAATTTAGACTCTAGGAGAGAGTAGCAGTATGGATAACCTTTCTTTCCCTTTTTATTCTTTTAAGAGCTTTGGCAGAGGTCCTCAGAGGTACTTAGGCACCTTTGAGGATGTCAGCCTTTTTTCTTTGATTTGCATACTTCCAGCAACGAAGTATCCATAAGGTCCTGTCAGCTCTTCATAAAATACCTTCTGGCACTATTTAAATTAATGGCATTAATAGAGTTAGAAGCTAGGTTGTACTATTAGCTTAACCTGTGTGTTAAAAATTGAAGAGAAGTGTAACTATGGTCCTTCTAAAGGTATTATTAGGACTGTTAATCTTATTTGAGGAGTTACGTTTCTCTTGCTTTTAAGTGGTGGTTAGTACGTATCCTGTATATCTAGGTTGAGGTATTCCTTGTTCTTTTAGCATGGAGAAAATAGTCTTTGTTACACCACAGCTTTTACACATTTTGGACCTACATTGGTTCAGGAAAAATATATTTTTTAGAAACTGGTCCATTCCAAATAATGGTGGCAATAAATTATATTCCCTAAATGTTTCAGGAAAGCAGTGAGAGTTTGTTTTCATATAATTCAAGTGCTTTCATTTGGAGCAAAATAATCTGTGTTCCCTAAAGTGTCCAGTGTCTCTTATGTAATTATTCAGCTTGCACTCATGCCTTTGTACTGCTGTATAAGTATATTGCATTCATTATGCACCCTCTGAAATAACCGATATTGTAAGAAGATAAGAGAGCACAATTCTGAACAGAATCAAAGACTAGACAATTTTGTTTAGCATTTAAAGCAAAAAAAAAGTATTGTGTGTGTGTCAGTACAGCTAATTAGGTACAATCCACTATTTCTCCTGCAACTATTGAACCCATAATGAAGGTACCTTTTAACATGATAATGTTTTCCTTATGAAGCAGGCTTCTTCATCCTTCCTACAAATATATATATTTTTTAAATCAAAAAATATATAGAGGAGGAATTAACAAAAACGTTGTGTAAGATTTAAGTGTTTGACTCAGACACACATGGGTTATAGTACAAAAGCAAGCAAACATGTTATAGAAACAATAACTGAAGTGAAGTTTTGCGAGACCTCGGTTTTAGGCCACACCATAGTGGAAGGGTAACTTTTAGCTTGCTGTGCTTACAGTTTGGGAGTCAGTTAGCTAAATCTGCAGAAACAAAGTTTGTATTTGAGATGGAGCTAATATGGAGGACCACAAATGCCTTATGCAGTCTACTGGGGTTATTCCCCAGTGATATTCCACAATGTTCTCAAATGCCCTGTGTATCAGTTATAATATGGCTTCTGTTAATACATTCCAAAGACTGTTACCAATATTCTATAATCCATAATAAAAAATCTTTAGTGAAGTCTTTTAATAAAGAAAACAAAAGTCTGCAAGCGAGGCTATTTGGCAAGTTGCTAACCTGCTCACACTTGATGTGTATAGAACACTGTAACAACCAGCCCTCCTGGAAACATCAAGAGATGTGCTAACGGAAGAATATTTAAGTAATCCTGGTTGTTTAATGGAGTGCCAAGCCCTGCACACACTGTAGATATCCAAATAGCCTGATGACTTAAGTAGGTACTACCTTAAGCAGTAATGAGCAAGATTAGGCTCCAAGGTCTTCTCAAATGTAGTTAAATGGAGAACACAGTAATGCCACTTTGCATATTACTGCTGGTGCTAAATCACTTGTTGAAAAATTTAAAATCTAAATACAAGTTGTAAATACTATGTTTATGACCTGGTCCTTTTGACTGACTTGAAATTTATCACTCAGATTTCTTCTGGCCTTATTTCAAGCTTACCTTTTTAGTTTATATTCTGTGGTTCATTAATGTCGAAAGTCATTTGTGGGATGGGCTTTCTATGCTGCTTTCTGTAAAGCAGGTAACATTTAGTTTGTGTATTATATCAGATCATCTTCCATTTCTAGATTTCAGTTGTAAGAGTAGTTTAGGTATTAATCTTACAGTTTACCATCCATTGTCACTGTAGCTGTTTAAAGTAAAAACAGTTCTTAGTACCACCTGTAATGGTTTGACATACATCCTTTGTTAATTCTTCAAAAAGTATGGCCATAACTGTAAGCATTTTTGTTTGAAAATTGTAAATATATGTATTTAAAACTACTTTTAAAGATGAAATGTTAAATTGGTCCTATCCATAAGAGAATCTAAAATATGGAATACAAATTGTTAGTTTAGAGTCGTATATTTTAATTTTAATTAAACATTTTCACAATTTCATAGGTATAAATTTTAGACCATTGTAAATACAAAGACTTGGAACAGTTGCATTAATTCAGATTTGAAAAAGAGTTGTGAATGAAAACATGAAGAAATTTTATGTTACAATGCCAAGAAGCTCAAAAGTAATGGGGTTGAATATTTGGGTATTTGAATTATGATGGAGAATAAGGAAAATTTTGTTTTGATAGGCAGCATCATCTTTTTTTTTACACTGGTCGTAATAGGACTTTTGGCATTTTAATCATACATATTTTTATCTTGGTTGTCAAGCAATTGTCTTGCAGCATGCAGACCACCTAATGACCAAATCGTAATTTCAGAGGGAGGCAGGAGGAATTTGGGGGTTAGCAGCGAGGTTGGTTCTTTATCAGAAGGGATGGCACATTCATAAATTGCAAACCCATGTGGAGAAGACTTTCTTCTATGAGCCATTTTGGTTCAGTTGCCTTATTCTATTGCATTGTACTCATGTTATGTCTCAGCTTTTTTTGTTTACTGTTCTGACACTGAAGATGTGATGTAAAAAAATGTATGATGTGATGCAAATTTTATTTGTAAAATTACTAAATTATACCTTTATGTAATCTATAATACATCTCTTGTAAATTGTTTAATTTATTTTTCATTTTATAGATGCTCATTACTGAATGTACAGAATAGATTTCTTTAATATGTCACTAAGTCTTTTTGTTGTGGCCAAGCTGTGGCCAATACTGTAATTCATCCCCATTAAAACTGTATAAATCTTAACTGCCTGTTTGCATGATTGAAGTTTGAATTTAATTTACTTATTCATACTGCCATAAACCAATTTCAGTATGTTGGGCCTACTTTTTATAGTTTATTTTCCTGGTTTTGTTAATGTTTGTTCTGTATGAATGTTGAAACAGTACTTTTGTCTTACTTTTCCTAATAAATAACTCCAGGTTGTTCAGTCATGTTTCTCCTTTGTTCCTTTCTTGGATTAGTCATGTGTAACATCAGTAATTGATGCTCTGTACTATTATAGGTGATTTAATAGTAAAGGAACACGTCTGTGTTATCTTTTCTTCTCTTCACCTTCTGCACTTCTATAAGGCAGTGTAAAGGGAAAGTTGATTGTGTTCCTGCATTACTAAATATTGATGTGGATTCCATTATTTTGTTTCATGCTTTAATTTAAAGCTCGTAAATTGCCCTAACTTGCTAACTTTGAAGAATGAAATATTCTGTGCAGCTACCATGATCGTGGTGATAGCCATGCAGTTGCAATATCAAAACCATCTTTCCTGGTGAACTTGGGAACCTGTATTGGTTTCCACATTCAGTTTACTGCTTTTTGGTAATATTCATGTAACCTGGCTTTATTTGGTTTGACTGACTTCTTTCAGTTAAATGAAATAATTGCTTGATTAACGTAAAGGCAACACAGTGCTTCTAATTTCACCCTGAATATTCTAGTTTTATCAACAATCCTGAGAGAGCGCAGATCTACACTTGGCCCAAGGAGTTTTACAGCTCTCTGCAAAAGAAAATACTAGTTTCTAAATAAAAACCTCATGAATAGCACCCATGTGCTTAAGCTTTAGTGCATATCAGTTTACTTGGGTAGTTACAGTCATTTTCACCTGTGTCATCAGTGCCAAGCACTATCTATGTGTATGGTTACTGGCATTAACCTACGTTTTACATTTTTATATAAATAATATCTTATCTTTGTAATTGTACTGCACAGGCCCTGAAATCCACTTTCAAAAAAATTAACTCTCTTTGTATGCTAAGTTAGATGGATGTTTTGAGTGTTAGTACCATAACACAGTAGCTTGTGTCTTAAAATTAAAATAGAAGCTAATCCACCCTAAAATGTGTTTTTCCCACAGAACTGTATACATCCACTAAGTGCCTATTTCTGCTGTCTGAGTTACACCTCTCTCTAGTGCCATAAGCCCTCTGTCAACATACAGCAGTCAATAGAAAGCATATGTAAATAGTTT